GACTATACAAATACATGAAAAAGGCCAAATTTCAGCAAACTCACAATCTGAATGAACAACATGGGAAGAGCTAAGAAATGGAGCTGCAGGTGAAGAATCTCCTGAGATCTCATAGTGGGTCTACGAAAACTCTGGGAGAACAACAAAGTCCTCAAGCTTTGTCTCCAGGTTTTCATCTAGCGGGCTGCAGTCCCCACTGTTGGGGCACATACAAACCAGCTCACCCCTGCACATGTCACAGACATACTGTTGAGGATTTAACCCTCAAACTTTAGTTAGGTAGACAAGGTAACACCTACGATGTTTGCCAGGCAGAGGATACAACTGATTTGATTGGAAACAGTAGCTAATGGAGTTAAAACATGGCATTAAGTAATGGTCTAACTGAGCCATTTCCAGTAACTGGACTGTAAATCAAGAGTGACATGTATCAGCAGGGATTAGCACACAGAGCTTGGTGTGAGAGGCACTTTCTTATGAAGCTCTTGTGTGTCAAATAATTAGGGATTCACAACAGCCCTGCACTTCATTCACCAAAAAGATATATTACTGTTATTACCAGTGGTGTACAAAAAGACAATCCCAAGTGTCCCAGGAAAATGTACCAACTGATCTTCATTACTTGACTCTTCCTCCTTGCAAACCCACTTTGCACTTGTCACACAAAAGAAAAGGGACTGTAAGTCCTGGAAAAACTTCAACAGTTAATATTTGAGTCCTCTCATGGCAACACATAAGAGCAAAAAGCTAGTAGAGCTGCAATCTTAATCCACACCACTGCAAGTGAAGGCTAACAAATGTCTTCTAGGGGCAAAACCCATGCTGCAGAGAGTAGGTAGCAGGAATCACACCCTATGGGAAAAATAAATCTATATACACATCTCATCATACCTTTTTTCCATCTTCTCATTTCTTCTCTATTTGATAAAGCTAGGAAAAAAATTTAACACACATACAGCGGCACTTTTGCCAGGTGCTTCAAACACCATCTTTGTGTTTGAATGAGGAAATAGAAGACTACAACAGCACAGTCAATTATCTCAGGCATCAAATTCCTTGAAATCAGGGAGCAATGTTCATGCCTCAGCAGTACAGACAGGCATCAGATTTTTCATATGCATTGAAAAAAGCCAGCAAGGGAAGCAAAATCAATTTTTAAAAAACCAGCAGGCGCTACACACAGACATCCTGCTGCTATTACCTTCATCAACAGGGAACAAAACCAAATATACAGTTCACTGAATAAACACTCTGGATACACCAGGCAGGGCATACTGAACAGAAGGTTTCACCTGCAAGGACTAAGTTCTTTGCCTGCTGTTTGCAGAGAAGAACACCATGCACTTGAGGCCTCCTCAAACTAACACCCACCACCAACACACACAGCGACTGCCAAGTGGAAGGAAAGTGCTGAAAGTATTAAAAAGCAGGTACTACACTTGGAAGAAGCTGCATACAGTCTGTACCAAACCAAGTTGAGGCTTCAAGGCACTTTTGCCATTTATATGCTAACTAGAAGCTTGGCAAAAAAAGCTGAGTTGTATTCCCGTCTCTTCAATTTCACTCTAGGACTCTAAGTGCCCTGCTTGCTCAACACAAGCAATTTATATCACAGAAATTGAAACAAATATTCACAAGAAAGTATGGAAAATCTGGTTACAAGCGAAGATCTTGTCCGCTTCCACGGTGAAATTCACCTCTCACCTCAGCAACTCATTTCCTGCAAGGAAATTGGATAGATGTTCCAAATAAGGAGTAATTTTCAAAGGGGTATTGAACACTGAAGACCCAAAGGAATTCCATCTTCAATGTTGTGATTTACAAGCCAGTGAATTTAAAATGTGTCAGAACTTGTGATACAGCCAGTAACTAGATGAACTGCATGATGTCTGAGCTTGCCAACAGGAAACCGGGAATCCTTTCATTTCCCTCAGCTGAGTGCCTTCTGTGCTATCTAACTTCAAAGACATTAATCCACTATCCAGTTTACTGACTGACTTCAATTAGAGCTACCACTCTGAGGGCAGCACTGGAATGATAAAAATAAAAAGCCAAGAAAAGAATTTGATTTCCTCCATCACTGACACAGTAGTAGTGTCAGTGTACACTATTACTGTACACCTGGTACAGTTTGTGCTACTACTGAGGCAGCATAAACTTCAGAAAGCACAAGCAAAGGTGCAGCAATATGAAGCATCTTCAGTATTGACTTCTTACTCTTCTACATCCTGAATATGTTTCGTCCTTTCCTGTTACCCCATCTTTCAGTTTGATTTACTGCAGACTTCATAGGCACAGTTTGATGGCAGTAATGCTGATGAAAATGTAACACAAAGCACATCTTATCCTAAAGAAATACAGTAACTAACATAAAAACTGTCAAAGAAGCTTTATGAGCCATGATGACACAACAAAGATGCCAAAGTAGGTAATACCTCCTGCTAGTTCTGTTTCAGCTTTAGAGCAAGAAAAGGCAACAGTGGAATGAAAGAGAAGCCAGGTGACCTAACCCTATCAGAAGCCTGCAACAATGGTGGAAGAAAGATAAGAAAAATCCACCAAGAAAATTTAAGAGAACAGATTTGGGTAGAGCACATTTTCCTTGTGGAGTGCCGATGATGAAACCATTGAATCACAAAGTGATGTCTGCATTCTTTTTGAGCACAGAAGATGCCTGTAGAGACTAAGGAAGATTCACCCCTCATCTTATTCTTCAAGGTAGTAGGAGAGACCACAAAGAATCATGCTCTTCTTCAGAATCTCATTTAGGTAAGTCATCATGTCAGACAAGTGATGTGATACCAAAACCATCTGAAAAACTGAGGCCAAGCAGCACGTTCAGTACTTCATACTGTGGGTTGGAAAAAGGGACTCACATGGGAAATTAAGTCCAAAATTCAATGTACACATATCTTGTGCCTTCTGGCTAGATCTCTGCAACATTTTCAAAGCGGGCATACCCCACCATCTGGGGACACACTGCCTTACAGCTCCTTTTCTAACTCTGGAACAAATGTGAGCACAGTTAACAACCAAATCAATTGTAACTCGTGACTTTAATTTATTCCTCAAGACATCATGAACAGTTACCTTCCTGCATCTAATGACAATCCTGTGTCATGGAAGCAGGGTGGTCAAAAGGTATGAGACAGCTGCTCCTGTGGAGTAGTAGGTGGAGAAGAAATGAAGGAGCAGAAATGGTATGAACAGTGAAGCAAGAAGATGGAATTAATGAGGCGGCCAAAACCAGAACCACAGTAAGGGACAGGATGGATTATAAAAAACCTAAGTCATCAGCAACTCTATGTAGCCTCTGTGGACCAGAACCAGATAGTGTCAGAAAAGACAAGACCTGACACACAACTGCAACAAACTCTCCTCAATTCAACCCCCTATTTTTATTTTCAAATGCTTGACTCCCATGTTAGCCATTGGAGTGTGGCCCTCTCTCTTCATGGAGAGATTACTGAAACTGTGCTAGTCTGACATTCGGCCTGCCAGACTTCTTTCAGTTTGATGAAGCACTACACTATGCTGTTTAAATCACCCATAGCTATTGGAAGGTTACAGATACAGAGTCTAGCGAAACCCAAACCCAAACAACTGCAGCTGAAACTATGCCTTGTACTTTAATCCTGTGTAGCAAAGAAAGTCTCTGAACCCCAGTCAGGGTGTAGCCACAACCACAGCTGTGCCATTACATTAAGGCTGACATGCAGTACTCCCTTCTCTTCTAAAATTCACATTACTACAACATGTAAAAGCAACAAATGAGTAAACTATGAGGTAGGGTAACCTAAAATCAAAAAAGAAATACCTTTCCTTACAGCCCTGACCTCAGCATTCAGATTGGCGATTCTTAGTGCTTACATTCTGTGATAAAGTTCAAGCGGATTCCCTCTCATTTATTTCATACAGACTGCCTGCCAATCACCACCCTGTCAATGCACTGTAAATTACTAGTAGTGTAGCCAAGAACCAACATGAAGGAAGTGTAAGAGCCTGCATGTGAATACTACAGTACTAAGCATTTACACTTATTTGCCAGCCTTCCATTTCAGAAGGCAGATAACATCCCTTATGGACAAATCTGGACCCTGTCTTTTTCCAAAATTTTCTCAAGTATTTAATGTGACTCTATCTGGCCTGGACATTAAGGAGCAGAGAAAAACGAAGTCTCTTGACATCTCACAGCAACAGCCTCCTCTCCTCAAAGGATACCATAAAATGTAGCACAGCACAAATCCTGCAACTAAAGAATAGGAGCAGCAGCATCCTCCCTGATCGTATTAAAAAAAAATTCTCAGAAAACAACAAACTTTTGTCAGGCACTTTCAAATTAATTAAGAGGGGATACTTGGTCCACTACTGAATGGTAACATGATGCTTTTACAACTGGTAACAAGAAGTAACACACACTAGGACATGACAAAGACCCAGTTACAGACTTCCACAGCAAATCCTCAGCAGCAGAATGGATTTAAATATCCTTTGAGGGTGAGTCAGGAGCTACAGATCCAAGCATAAGATTCTCTCCTAATCCAGACGGTAAGATTATGTTTTGGATGGAGAGAGCCAATGCTTTGAATTCTCTCTCTCCTGTCACCCCCGCCCCTGCCATATGCTGCCACTTCTTTTCTTTACTATCAGAAGTGGCTAGGGTTTCTCTTCCCACCCCCCAACTGCTTCATTCTCTCCTTGGCAGGCAGTCAACTCCTCGGGCCGTGTGCGTTAACACCCTGCAGCCCATAAAGTACTCACTCTGAGCTCTCACTGCCGCTGCCAGTTGCAGAGCTGCTGTGCTGGTCGCCCTGGCCCAAAAGCTGGACCCCTAAGGACCTGACGGCCCGCATCAGAATTGCCTCCATTGCTTCCACCGAGAGCTTCTCCAGGACAATCACCCGGCACCGGCTCAGAAGAGCGGCGTTGACTTGGAAGGAAGGGTTTTCTGTGGTTGCTCCTATCAGGGTCACTGTCCCGCACTCGACGTGAGGAAGGAAAGTGTCCTGAGGATGGGAGGGAAGCAGAAAAAGCTGATCTCGATCAATGACAACCTGAAACATCCCAGGTGAGTAAACTGTGCTTTTTTTGCATCTTGTGAGTCTTTGGGTTCCCTGACAAGGCAGTTCATCTGCGCAGATATGTAAATGATTTAATTTCATGCACCTAACACGCTACAGGCTGTTCATCTTAATAACAAATGGCTGGAATGAGAATGACCTCACCCGATGAAAACAGGGTAAAAAAATCTGCAAATTTTTAGTTTATTTATAGGGATTTGATTTATTGCTTGGCAAATTTCATAAGAAATCATGAAATTGCCTTATCAAGTATTATGAATAGTGAGGTTACACTATGAACCAACCTTTGGGGCAACAATTCCCTACATAATTCTAAAGGATGGCTCAAAAAACTACAGGAAGATTGCAGTACAGTTCAATATAAAAACTGTAACTTGTAGTGCAGCATTCAAGCTTTCTATGTTACAACTAAAGAAACTCTATAACTAGAAAAGGAAAAAGAAAAAAAATACCCAAGTAATGGCTGCAGCGTTATCCCAAAGCACCATGCCATGCCTCGCTTTTTCTCACAGAGAAGAGGGGACAACATTAAAATACATACCCTTGGCACATTCACATTCCAGACCTCTTTAAAGGTAATACAGAATGCTACCATGAGGTGGAGGCTGAAATGAAGATGTGTGCAGCAAATACTACTAACATGACTTGGCAGAAATAAAATTTCAGAAAAATATCATATAAGGACTCGCATGTAAGTCAACTATAACTCAGCCTTTCATTTATATCTTTGAAGCACAATAATTAAATGCTGGTTGGAAGTAAGTTAAGGAATTTAATTTTTACGTTTCTTCCTAATTCACCTACTAAAAACGTTAACATGGAAATCAAAAGCCCAAAGGAAGGTATCATCTTAAGGCAAAGTAAGAAATTTTACAGAAGTGCTGACAAAAGCTTTTTTCAAAAAGCGGTGTAGTACAATACCTGCTGAGATTTATTGAAACGATGGATCTCGTCAATAAAGAGGATAGTTTTTCTCTTGAAGAGCCTTCTTTCATTCTGGGCTTGGCTGATGACATCTCGAACATCATTTGTCTTGGCACTTGTGGCTGACAGTGTCACAAACCTTGTGCCATTCTTTTTGCTGTTGTTGGCTATGATGTGTGCTAGTGTAGTCTGAAACAGTAATAGAAGAAAGCTTTGTAAAAATCATTTTGGACACAGAAAGTACCTATTTGAAGAAAATATGTAAAGAGCAAACCTATATATTTTGGACACGGGGACAGTGTTGACAGTTTATACAGTAAGCCATTTTAGTCCATGTTATTCTAGCACGTTGAAGACTTCTAAACTTCCTGCTAGAGGTAGCTGCCAATTCCTCTGCTGCATTTCTAATGCCTGCACTTTTACGTACCAGACCCAGTGAGTCTCAATACTGAAAAGGCCAGCAATGACAGCTGTCTCCTTTATCATGGAAGAAGAACTCTTTGCCAAATACATATCTGTCACAGAAGACAGGCTGACTGCAATTCACTGTGCAGTTATTTTGTAAAGTATGTTAATAGCTAAAGAGCTGGACTATCCCAAGACACCTGCAGCAGAGTTTACAGTGCAACCACATTTCACAGATTCACAGAATATGCTGAGTTGGAAAGGACCCACAAGGATCATCAGGTCCAACCCTTAGCCCTGCACAGGACCAGCCCCAAGAGTCACACCATGTGCCTGAGGGTATCATCCAAAAGCTTCTTGAACTCTGGCAGACTTGGTGCTGTGACCACTTCCCTAGGGAACCTGTTCCAGTGCCCAACCACCCTCTGGGTGAAGAACCTTTCTTTATCTCTATTCTCATATCCAACCTAAAACTCCCCTGACACAACTTCAGGCCATTCCCTTGGGTCCTGTCACTGGTCACCACAGAGAAGAGATCAGTGCCTGCCCCTCTTCTTCCCCTCATGAGGAAGTTATGGACTGCAATGAGGTCTCCCCTGAGTCTCCTCTTCTCCAAGCTGAACAGACCAAGTGACCTCAGCCACTCCTCATACGGCTTCCCCTCAAGGCCCTTCACCATCTTTGTTGCCCTCCTTTGGATACTCTCTAATAGCTTAATGTCTTTCTTATATTGTGTACACCAAAAGTGCACACAAAAACATAACCTACAATGTTGTTAATTAAACCCTTTCCTATTTCCAATACATATGAAAATGAAATTAATCAGACAGCAGTTTCTACAAAATCATGGGAATGTTAGTACTGAAAAATTATACATGTGCTTAAGAAAATGTAACTCTTAAACCTTAATAGTCAACAGTAATCAAATGCTGGCCCAGGGAAGTAAAAGACAGCTGACTGAACAAGCTGTTGGCTGTTTTTAGTGAGCAGCTATGTTGTTTTTCTTTCCTTATGAACAACCTCTTCAAACCACAGTTTATTTATACGGAATGTCACGAAGCCTAACAAAGCACAGAAGCAACCTCCAGCAACCTCCTAGGTAGATTTATCACACCTGAAAACATCACAGGCATGATTTTCAGACTTTCCTTCACAACCCTTAGTAAAGGTGGGTGTATCTGCATGTCCCCAAGCAGAGTGTATCTCTATTTGAAAGTAATGCTAGAGAAAACAAGTGATTCTTCCATCAAGCACACTCTTCTGTTAAAGAAGGAGCCTGAGGAGAATGAAGACAGGAGAGCCTCAAAAGATGAGGAGTGGGACAGGTGCTGGCAAAACCACCTCAGAAGATGTTCCAAGTGCTGAGGTTAAAGCAGCAGGTGCTGTCAACCTGATCCTCTTGCAGGGAGGCTACAGAAACAACCACCTATCACTTGGCTACCAGTGGTGTTGCAGCACTGCTCTGTCTATTTAATGGATCTCCTTGTCTCAGAAATGGCAACCAGCCCAAGATGGAAAAGCAGGGGCTAAGGAGGAGGATGTATCACTATTTATTCTTGCTTTAGTTTTAGTAAGGGCTTCCTGATTGTTTTCAGAAGTGGTGTCATTTGAGGTCCTGATACAAGACTCGTATTCCATGTCAGATCTTCCCTCATTCCCTGGAGCTCAAGCAACCAGCTCCTCCCCAACTTGTATCACTACAGAAGACAAGACTTGAAAGACACTTAGAAAGTGTTTGCAGCAAAGCCTACAGAAATCAAGAAGATCTGGAAAACAAACCAACCAACCAAATGTCCTCCTCTCAAAACAAAAGGAAACTATCTTTGAAATTAAGCTACCAAATGAAAACCAAAGTTTGTGTTTCCTTACAAAAGGGCCTTGATTCAGAATGTACCTTCAGAGGATATACCCATGCCTTAAAAATCTCTGAAAGCATGGAAAACCCCCAATATATCAAAGCTGAGGATGAAAAAGGAAAAATGTACCTCTTCCTTCTCTAAAAGTGGCAGTGGTGAGAGGAGGAAGAAAAATGAAAAATAAGTCAAATGGCTATTCTTCCTGTAGCTCCACTTGGACTGGTAGCTCACAATGTACCCGGGCTGTCATTCAGAGAGTTTTGTTGTTTACAACAAAAGCTGTGAGGAATTTGTTTTACACACATGCAGGAATCCATACTTCTAACACTAATTTAGGAAAATGAAATACAAAGAGATTTGTTTGAAAGTTACTGTTAGACCAAGAATCTACTTGAAAACTGCTGCACAGCTCTCAGTCAGCACGTACCCCTCCTGCTCTGCCAAGTTTGGGGTCACTAAAGGTTGTAATAAGAATAACATACATTGCCTTTCAAAAGCAGTGTTAGACATGGACAGGCATGTTCACAGTCTCTGTCTTATGTTTTGCACAATTAATCATGTAGCAAGTCTAACTGCCTATCACATACAGATCAAACTTTCCCTGCCTCTGAAAGACTATTATTTCCCATGAGCTCAGGTTTTTTATGCTGCTGCTTCTCTTACCATCTCAAGCAAAAGTCAGTAACATTCCACACTGTTTTCTCCCTGTGTTACTTCAGGTTACAACCTAAGAGAACACATAACCTAGTGGAGACTTAAGTAGGGTTGTTTAAGCATGAAGGCACTAGCACAGAACAACTATAACTCATATGCTAGACCCGTAGTTTCCCCTCACTAAGTTCAGAGGCACTGCATTTAAGGGATAAGAAGAAAATCAGAAATCTGATACAAAATAAGGTAGAAGAAAACACACTGAATATCCTTCACCATCTAAAATAATTCTGAAGTTTGACTGTTACATTAGAAAACAAGTCTTTTAAAATAGTAACACTGATGTTGCAATTTAATATGAATTAATAATACATCTGTATTAGAACTGCATAACAAGCAGAAAGAGGAAATGTAAACAAGTTGATAACCTGCTCCTTTTATTGTACAGGTTTTTCTTAATTAGCTTGTGTTCTTTTCTTATGGGGAGGAGCAGAAATATTGTTTCCCACAAATTAAGAATAGGAGTGATTCTACAAACTAACCTGTTACTAACTTCACTAAAAATTACACCTTACAAAGCTCACAGTCCTTGCCCCTTCCAGAAATCATTCTTGGTTCTATTATCACACCAAACTATCCAAGGTCACACCTATCATCTCAAGCTATATGCTGAAAATTGTGAGACCTTACTGACTTACCTGTTTAGAGAAGCTAAAGCAGTGCCGTTATAAGGAGCTGTTCTGAAACACAGAAACATATTCACCAAGAAACTCCTGAACCATTCATCATTCATGGCTAGGCTTTGTGAACGAAGATTTGGGAAAGGCTCTATCCACATTTGTTACAAGCACGCTGGTGGCTAATGAGGCCAATATGAGACAGACATGTCTGATTGCAAAAGGCACAGCAGAAAGACTCCTTAGGTGGTATATTCAGCAAGGCACGATTCTTTCTGTGTTGTCTTTTCTCCTCGAGAGTGATCCTGCGTGCTTTCTCAAAGGAAGCAGCAGCGTTATAGATGGTGCGTTTTCAGGCCTCCCGATTGGAGGCCAGAGTAGACCAGTTATGGTGATCAATATGGCCAAGGCTGAGATGTTGTTTCAGGGAGTCCTTGTATCTTTTCTTTGGGGCTCCTCTCTTGCAGCAGCTGG